AGTGCAGTGTTGTTACTGTCAACACAGTGACAGTTTGTTACTGTCAACACAGTGACAGTGTTGTTACTGTCAACACAGTGACAGTGTGTTACTGTCAACACAAGTGACAGTGTTGTTACTGTCAACACAGTGACAGTGTTGTTACTGTCAACACAGTGACAGTGTTGTTACTGTCAACACAGTGACAGTGTTGTTACTGTCAACACACAGTGTGACAGTGTTGTTACTGTCAACACAGTGACAGTGTTGTTACTGTCAACACAGTGACAGTGTTGTTACTGTCAACACAGTGACAGTGTTGTTACTGTCAACACAGTGACAGTTTGTTACTGTCAACACAGTGACAGGTTGTTACTGTCAACACAGTGACAGTGTTGTTACTGTCAACACAGTGACAGTGTTGTTACTGTCAACACAGTGACAGTGTTGTTATGTCAACAAGTGACAGTGTTGTTACTGTCAACACAGTGACAGGTTGTTACTGTCAACACAGTGACAGTTTGTTACTGTCAACACAGTGACAGTGTTGTTACTGTCAACACAGTGACAGTGTTGTTACTGTCAACACAGTGACAGTGTTGTTACTGTCAACACAGTGACAGTGTTGTTACTGTCAACACAGTGACAGTGTTGTTACTGTCAACACAGTGACAGGTATTGTTACTGTCAACACAGTGACAGTGTGTTACTGTCAACACAGTGACATGTTGTTACTGTCAACACAGTGACAGTGTTGTTACTGTCAACACAGTGACATGTGTTACTGTCAACAACATGTGAACAGTAATTTGTTACTGTCAACACAGTGACAGTGTTGTTACTGTCAACACAGTGACAGTGTTGTTACTGTCAACACAGTGACAGTGTTGTTACTGTCAACACAGTGACAGTGTTGTTACTGTCAACACAGTGATATTGTTACTGTCAACACAGTGACAGTGTTGTTACTGTCAACACAGTGACAGTGTTGTTACTGTCAACACAGTGACAGTGTTGTTACTGTCAACACAGTGACAGTGTTGTTACTGTCAACACAGTGACAGTGTGTTACTGTCAACACAGTGACAGAGTTGTTACTGTCAACACATGACAGTTGTTACTGTCAACACAGTGACAGTGTTGTTACTGTCAACACAGTGACAGTGTTGTTACTGTCAACACAGTGACAGTGTTGTTACGTCAACACAGTGACAGTGTTGTTACCGTCAACACAGTGACAGTGTTGTTACTGTCAACACAGTGACAGTGTTGTTACTGTCAACACAGTGACAGTGTTGTTACTGTCAACACAGTGACATTGTTACTGTCAACACAGTGACAGTGTTGTTACTGTCAACACAGTGACAGTGTTGTTATTGTCAACACAGTGACAGTGTTGTTACTGTCAACACAGTGACAGTGTTGTTACTGTCAACACAGTGACATGTTTACTGTCACACGACAGTGTAACAGTGAATTGTTACTGTCAACACAGTGACATTGTTACTGTCAACACAGGACAGTGTTGTTACTGTCAACACAGTGACAGTGTTGTTATGTCAACACTAGTGACAGTGTTGTACTGTCAACACAGTGACAGTGTTGTTACTGTCAACACAGGTTGTTACACAGTGACGTTGTTACTGTCAACACAGTGACAGTGTTGTTACTGTCAACACAGTGACAGTGTTGTTACTGTCAACACAGTGACGTGTTGTTACTGTCAACACAGTGACAGTGTTGTTACTGTCAACACAGTGACAGTGTTGTTACTATCCAACACAGTGACAGTGTTTTACTGTCAACACAGTGACAGTGTGTTACTGCCAACACAGGACATGTACGTCAACACAGTGACAGTTGTTACTGTCAACACAGTGACAGTGTTACTGTCAACAGTGACAGTGTTGTTACTGTCAACACAGATGTACAGTGTTATTTACGTCAACCAGTGACAGTGTTGTTACTGTCAACACAGTGACAGTTTGTTACTGTCAACACAGGTGACAGTGTTGTACTGTCAACACAGTGACAGTGTTGTTACTGTCAACACAGTGAGTTGTTACTGTACACATGGACTGTCAACACAGGACAGTGTTGTTTTGTCAACACAGTGACAGTTGTTACGAACACAGTGCATGTACTGTCAACACAGGACATGTGTCCAGTGTTACGTCAACAAGTGACAGTATGTGTGTTACTGCTCAACACAGTGACGTTTGTTATGTCAACATAGTGACTAGTGAGTACTGTGTTACTGTCCAACACAGTGACAGTGTTGTTACTGTCAACACAGTGACAGTGTTGTTACTGTCAACACAGTGACAGGTTACTGTCAACACAGTGACATGTTGTTACTGTCAACACAGTGACAGTGTTGTTACGTCAACACAGTGACAGTTGTTACTGTCAACACAGTGACAGTATGTTACTGTCAACACAGTGACAGATTGTTACGTCACACAGTGACGTTACTGTCAACACAGTGACAGTGTTGTTACTGTCAACACAGTGACAGTGTTGTTACTGTCAACACAGTGATATTGTTACTGTCAACACAGTGACAGTATTGTTACTGTCAACACAGTGACAGTGGTTACTGTCAACACAGTGACAGTGTTGTTACTGTCAACACAGTGACGTTTGTTACTGTCAACACGTGACATGTTTTTACTGTCAACACAGTGACATGTGTTACTGTCAACACAGTGACATGTGTTTCACGTGACTAGTATGTACAGTGTTTGTATCACTATACTAGTCAACACAGTGACAGTGTTACTGTCAACACAGTGACAGTTATGTCACAAGTGACAGTGTTGTTATGTCAACACAAGTGACAGTGTTACTGTCAACACAGTGACAGTGTTGTTACTGTCAACATACATCTAACAGTGACAGTGTGTACTGTACACAGTGACAGTGTTGTTACTGTCAACACAGTGACAGTGTTCTGTCAACACAGTGACAGTG